GCTCCTGAAAAAGGAAAATCCAAGACCAGATAGCTTAGCGGAGAATTCTAAAAAGTGTTTAAAGAAGAATTCGTATCATTTCTTCACAAACTCTTCCAAAAGTTGAAGAGGAGGGAACACTTCCAAACATTTTTTATGAGGCCAGCATTACCCTGATAACAAAGACAGAAAAGGACACTACAAGGATGACATATATTTTTAAGGTGCAAATGATGTATTCTTGGATTTGAAAATACAGGATTTGTTTGTACAAAGATTTGTGTGTGGATAGGTGGATGTGTACCGGTGTGTGCCTGCATACATACACAAGCTTACCTTGTTTTATTGCACTTCACTTTATTATGCTTCTTGGATATTGTGTTTTTTTACAGATTGAAGGTTTGTGGCAACCCTGCATCAAGCAAGTCTACCAGTGCCACTTTTCTGGTAGCATGTGCTTATTTTGTATCTCTGCATTACATTTTTGTAATTCTTGCAATATTTCAAATGTTTTGTTATTATTATATCTGTTATGGTGATCTGTGATCAGTGATCATTGCTATTACTATTGTCATTGTTTTGGGGCATCACAAACCATGCTCCCCAAAAGACAATGAGCTCAATTGATACATATGTGTATTGGAATGGTCGCATCGATCTGACCTTCTTCCATCTCCCCCTCTCCTCAGGTCTCCCTGTTTTCTGAGACACAGCACTATTGAAACTAGGCCAGTTAATAACTGTACCTAGGCCTCTATGTGTTCAAGTGAAAGTAAGAGTCACATATCTCTTACTATAAATCAAAAGTGAGAAATGATTAAGCTGAGTGAGGAAGGCATGTAAAAAGCCGAGACAGGCCAAAAGCTAGGCTTCCTGCACCTAACAGTTAGCCAAGCTGTGCACGCAAAGAAAAAGTTCTGGAAGGAAATTAAGTGTTACTCCAATGAACACATGAGTGGTATGAAAGTGAAATAGCCTTTTGCTGATATGGAGAAGGTTTGTGTGGTTTGGATAAAAGATCAAACCAACCACAACATTTCCTTAAGCCAAATCCTAATCCAGAGCAAGGCCCTAACTCTCCTTAATTCTCTGAAGGCTGAGAGAGGTTAGGAAGCTACAGAAAAAAAGTTTGAAGCTAGCAGAGATTGGTTCACGAGGTTTAAGAAAAGAAGTCGTCTCCATAAGATAAAAGTGCAAGGAAAAGCAGCAAGTGCTGATGTAGAAGCTGCATCAAATCATCCATAAGATCAGCTAAGATAAGCAACAAAGCTGGCTACACTACACAGAGGTTTTTACTGCAGATGAAACAACCTTATATTGGAAGAAGATGTCATCCAGGACTTTCATAGCCAGGTAGCAAAATAAATGCCTGGCTTCAAAGCTTCAAAGAACAGGATGACTCTTTTGTTATGGGCTTAAGCTGAAGCCAAAGCTCAACTACCATTCTGAAAATTCTAGGGCTCTTAAGAACTATGCTACATCTACTCTGCCTGTGCTCTGTAACTGGGGCAAAGCCTGAATGACTGCACATCTGTTTATCACATGAATATTTTAAGCTCACAGCTCAGCTTTAAAAAAAGATCCCTTTCAAAATATTGTTCATTGACAATTTACCTGGTCACCCAAGAGCTCTGATGGAGAACTACAAGGACATTAATGCTGTTTGCATGCCTGCCAATACAACATCCATTCTGCAGCCCATGGATCAATGAGTAATTTAGACTTTCAAGGCTGATTATCTGAGAAATATATTTCAGAAGGCTGTAGCCACCATATATAGTAGTTCCTTCAATAGATCTGGGCAAAGTAAGTTGAAAACCTTCTAGAAAGGATTCACCATTCTAAAAGCATTTGCAATTCATGGGAGGAGGTTAAAATTAAGAACATTTGTGATTCATGGGAGAAGGTCAAAATATCAACATTAAAAGAAATTTGGAAGAAGTTGATTCCAATCCTCATGGATGACTTTGGGGGTTCAAGATTTCAGTGCAAGAAGTAACTGCAGATGTGGTGGAAATAGCAAGAGAACTAAGATGAAAAGATATGAAGGAACTTAAGATGTGGCTGAAATCTCATGATAAAATTTTAGCAAATGAGAACTTGGATGAGCAAAGAAAGTGGTTTCTCGAGCTGGAACCTACTCCAGGTGTAGATGCTGTGCAACCTTGTTGAAATGACAACAGAGTATTCAGAAAATTGCATAAACTTAGTGGATAAAGCAGTGGCAGGGTTTGAGAGAATTGTCTCTGATTTGAAGGAAGTTCTACTGTGGGTAAAATGCTACCAAACAGCATTGCATGCTACAGAGGAATCTTGAAAGAAATAGTCAATGAATGCAGCAAACTTCACTGTTGTCTTCTTTTAAGAAATTGCCACAGCCACCTCACCTCCAGCAGCTCCCACATGATCAGTCAGCAGCCACAACACTGAGGCAAGGCCACTGACCAGCAAAAAGAACTTGATGTTGAAGGCTCAGGTGATTGATAGCATGTTTAAACAGTAAAACCATTTTTAACTAAGGCATGTACATTGACTTTTTTAGACATAATGCTATTGCCCATTTAGTAGACTACAGTATAGTATAGACCTAACTTTTATATGCACTGAGAAACCAAAAATTCTGTGTGATTTGTTTTATTGCCATATTTGTTTTATTGCAGAACTGGCCACCAGAATCTTCCCTTCCCCTAGAATGCTCTTCACCCAAACCACCTGTGTTTTCCCCTCACCCATCATACCCCCCTCATTCTCTGGCCTGCCCTCCACTCCTCCAAAGCCTTCATTTCTGCCCCACTGCTGGACTGCACTCTGACTCCGTCTTGCCGTGACTCAGTGGCACTTCCACTGGGCACTGCCCCAAAGAGCTCATCTCCACAGTGGCCTGAAACCAAATCCACGGTATCTCTGAGGTATGCCTATAGAGCAGTCTCATAAGTTATTATGCACTTTAAGCATTACCAAGTCCAGAACTGTAAATGCTATACATTTACAGAAATACCACTTGAAGGTTTAACTACTTATCATTCTTTCATAATCAGAATTACAAATTTTGAATATTAATTATTTTAATGGGGGGAGGGGCCAAGATGGCTGAGTAGAAACAGCTCTGCTCTGCAGCTCCCACTGAGACAAACACGAACAGCGAGGGATTTCTGAATTTCTAACTGACGTATCCGGACTCCCTCACTGGGACTGACCAGGCAGTTGGCGTGAGCCCTGGAGAGCAAGGAAAAGCAGAGTCGGGTGACAGTTCACCCAGGAGCTGCACAGGGCAAAGGGACCTCCCTCCCCCAGCCAAGGGAGGCAGTGAGGGATTGTGCTGCCCGCCTGGGGAACTGTGCTTTTCCCACAGACTTTTGCAAACCCCAGATCAGGTCATCCCTTTGTGAGTCCACACCACCAGGGCCCTGGGTCCCAAGCACAAAGCTGTGCAGACCTATAGTAGGGACTCCAGTCGGCAGCCACTTCCGCAAGGAGCTTTTGTGTGCTCTGGTGGCTCACAGAACTCCAGTGGAGCAGGAGATCCATCACCTCCCACGAGAAGGGGACTGAAGCCAGGGAGCCAAGCAGACCCACTCCCGCAGAACCCCACAAGCTAAGACCCACTGGCATGGAATCCCCACTGGCCAGCACAGCATCCTGGAGTCTTCCTAAGAAGACCAAGTTTCTGCTGGGAGGGGTGACCGCCATTATTGCGGGTCTAGTCAGCGGTTTTGCCCTGCCAGTGCTAGGAAGACTGGGTGGTTTGTGCGGGGCAGAATTCCCCTCAGTGCAGTACAGTGGCTGTGGCAGATATACCATTATTGTATATCCAAACGAATATAAATCATTCCATTACAAAGATACATGCATGTGTGTGTTCATTGCAGTGCTGTTCCCAATAGCAGAGACATGGAATCAACCCAAATGCCCACCAATGATAGAATGGATAAAGAAAATGTGGTACATAGACACCATGGAATACTATGCAGCCATAAAATGGAATGAGATCAAGTCCTTTGCAGGGACATGGATGAAGCTGGAAGCCATTATCCTCAGCAAACTAATGCAGGAACAGAAAACCAAATACCACATGTTCTTACTGATAAGTGGGAGCTGACAATGAGAACATATGGACACAGGGAGGGGAACAACACACCCTGGCACCTGTCTGGGGAGGGCCGGTGGTAGGGAGAGCATTAGGAAAAATAGCTAATGCATGCTGCTTTTAATACCTAAGTGAGGGCTGATAGATGCAGCAAACCACCATGGTACACATTTGCCTGTGTAAGAAAACTGCATGTCTTGCACATGTACCCTGAACTTAAAATAAATACAAAAATAAAATTTAAAAAAATAAAAAAAATCTTAATTGTATTGGGTAGGTCCCTTTGATTCAAAGTGAGATAGAATAATTTTTAAAACTTACTTTTCAAAATTTGCAAAACCACATAAGTGTAAAAGAAATTTACATTTTGTCCCTGGATTGATATAAGACAAAAACATTGTGTGGGAAGCTGGGTGAGGACGAACGACATTCTGAGAATAAAATTCCCTGGTACATAGCTAAAATTTCAGAGTGAACTTCAGATTTTCAAGGGTCATAAAATAGGTAACCTCAGCCACCGCTCCAACAGATAAAAGGAACCAGGTAATATCTGTGTTCCAGGGAGAAAGAATAGAAAATTGGCTGAGTTCTATCACTGACAAAACTTAGTGGGAGGAGGGATCTGGAAGGTGGGAGGGTGGAGGGATCCCCGGCTTGGAGGGTGGGAAGGCTGTGTTCAGCCTCCCCGTCCCACTGCCCTCCCCCCTCCGCTGCCCCTCCCAAACAAAGAGCCTTTGTGATGTGAAGGCCCCAGCTCTGTGACGCAGGCCTGGGCCCCAGTCCCTAGTCTCCACGGGGATGCCCAGAGCTCAGTTGCTTGAAAGCAACGCCCTATTCACATGGAGAATCTCCCCTTTCCTCTGAATTACTTTAGTGCTCGTCGCTAAACGCCCCCAGCTCCACACCATGGGTGTTGGATATCTTCCTCACCTTGGTGTTTGCCCTGGGTTCTTCTTCCTATTATTCCCCTACTTCTCTTACCTCCGTTATGACGACCCACCCTCACCATCGCCTGGGAAGAGAAAGGTGAGGAGCCCTCAGTCCGGACCCACAGAGCTTGATTCTTTCCTTTCTTTTTCTTATTAGTTCTACTTTTCCAAATCCAGTGGAGAGACTTCTGCGATGGGAAGTCTCAGGAGAGAGGAGAACATCATCCTTCCAGGGAGAGGCAGGGCAGCCAGGGTTGGTAGGGGTGGATCGTGTACTGGGATTTCCGTCCCAAGCTCTCGGTCCGCCTGTGGGGGAGCGCAGGAGGCGTCAAGACAAAATCAAACTCGTGGACTCACCGCCAGGAACGGTCATGAGAAGGGGGAGGTCTCTGTCCGAGGCCAGACCCTGAGCCCTGGCTCATCAGCCCCTTCCTGGGGCAGATGGCTCGGGGCCCAGTCTCCTCTGTATGGGGCGATCTGGGGGGCTGTGCTGAGCCCCCGAGGGCCTCCCATCGGGGCCTGGCGTCTCCTCTGGTCTCCTGGGAAGCAGAATCCTATCTGACAGCTCAGCGGTGCCTGCGGGCCTGAGCCTGTGAGTTCCTCGAGCAGAGGGACAGGGACTGACGGCGTCATATTGAACATCCCTCTTTGTGTGTGTATGTGGTGTGTTTTTTTTGTTTTGTTTTTTGTTTTGTTTTGTTTTGTTTTGAGACTTAGTCTTGCTCTGTCGCGCAGGCTGCAGTGAAATGGAGGGATATCGGCTCACTGCAACCTCTGCTTCCCGAGTTCAAGCTATTCTCCTGTCTTAGCCTCCTGAGTAGCTGGGATTACAGGCGCCCGCCACCACGCCCGGCTAATTTTTTTATTTTTAGTAGAGACGGGGTTTCACCATGGCCAGGCTGGTCTCAAACTCCTGACCTCAGGTGTCCACTGCCCTGGCTCCCAAAGTGCTCGGATTACAGGCTTGAGCCACCGCGCCCGGCCCCCTCTGCCAGAGAAAAGCAGTTTGTCCATCCATTTAAACATGAGTGGGAGGAAGCCACACAGAGCTCCCTGAGCCAGAGAGCCACGCGGTTCATGAGTGCAGGGCCGCGGCCGTGTCTGGGGGCGGAGATTGAAGGCCGGTCCTAGCTCCTCCCCCTTTCTTGTCTCCCCAGTGTCATCTTGTCTCCCCGCGTCATCTTGTCTCCCAGTGTCCAGTAGGGCGGAGAGGGAGGCCCAGAGGCAGGATGAAAAACCACAGTCTGAGAGGTAAGGCTCTGCCAGGGCACACTAGAGTTAATTTGATCTCGTCTGCCCTGGAGGGAACTGACTCTGAAGAAGTCAGTTGAAGAAGCCCGAGGCGGGGGCTCATAGGAAGGAAATCAGAACCCCGGGTCCTTCTCAGATTCCGAGCCGGAATGAAGCCTTGGTGGGCCAGGGACTGGGCCTTACCCAGCAGGGGGCAGTGTGTGTGTAGTGGGGAGAACAACGCCTGCCTGGATGGGAGGGGGGTGAGGGGGCCTCCTGGCCCTGGGAACAGCTGTTCAACTCTGCTAAGGCTGATTCCTCTTTGAGACCACCCCAGTCCTTTGTCCCCACAGGGCAGTTGTGAGGACTGTGGGGGTGGGGGGTCCTTATGTGGAAGCCCTTTGTGAATGACAAAGCCCTGCCGCCATGCCTTGCTGTTACCCTCCGGGCCATGTCTGGACACAGATGTGCGGTTCCAGGGTCTAATTCCCCATGGTCTTCCCTAAAGAAACATGCACTCATCCTCCTGTGAGATCCCAGGCCCCTCCTGCACCACCCTAACCCGGTCTCCTGATTTCCAGCTTGTAGAGCGTGCCCGAGAGGCCTGGAGGAGACTTGGGACCTGTTTTCACAACTGCAGAGGTGAGGCACTTCCCGTTCCCTGCATCCTTCCTGCCAGGGCTGGGATGTGACCCCAGGGCCGTAGGCAGCCTGGAGCTGACCTGGGATGGGGAGACCACAGGGACAGAGGATGGGAGTAAAACCCTGGGGCGAGGGGTAGCAGGAGAATTGGGCAGTCAGGATGTGGGGTGGTGGAGGGGCTGTGACCCGAGCTCCCACTCTGGCCCCCGCCCCACCTGCTCCTGGCTGCAGCTTGTGCCTCCTGTCTCCTGCAGCCTCCTGGGGCCGCCCTAACAAAGGTGACTTTGGTCAGCTCTCCGGTCCAGACCCCCCAGGTGA